CCCCAAAACCCCAAAACCCCAAAACCCCTCACTTGGTTTAAAAAATTGAAATTTTACTAAGAAATTGATCTATTTCAGAAGAGATCTCTTCTCCTACTATAGTTAAATTTTGGAACTTCCAAGTGCTTGTAGATCCCCAGCAAATCTAGAGGAGAAGATGTATTGGACAGGTACTCCTTCATGCCTTGAGTGTCTTTGTTCCTAATGAGTCCTTGGATCCTTTCCTTTTTCTTTCAATCTAAATTTTAGATAATGGTAATACGATTGTTGTAAATCGAAATGTTCCTTCGAGTTTCAAGACTGGTATTCCTTCCTTTCTTGAGCTTATCTATGTTGAAGAAAGATCCTAGTAAATCCTTGTGAGGGTCTCTATGAGGGGAAGTGCTTCTATTAGGAGAGTCTTTCATAGTTCCTTTGGTTTCTAGCCTTCCCACTTCTAAGATAACATCATTATTCCAAAATTTGGCTCTATTTCTTCTGTTTACCCTATATTGTCTTTAACCTGGCTTACATTTTCATTTCTTCAGCATTTTTAATATGGACCTCGATTGAATTTTGCTTGCTAGGGTCACTAGCTTTTAATGAACCTGTTAACGACTGGGAGTCTATAGAGTTTGAAAGAAAGTTACCTGAGGAAATACATAATTTTCGTTGCTCGCCCTTCTTACCAAAACTTGAGAGTTTCGAGTTCAGTTTTTGAAAATTCTTGTTTGCAAGAAATCCCGGCTCTTCATCTTCAATGATATCAAAATTTTGTTTCTGGGAGCTATACTTCCTTTCTAATGGACTTATCCTAGCTTTATCTCTCTAAAAAGATGAGGATAAGAGACCTACTTCATTATTTTTGCCCATTTTTATAGCTCTTTTAACCGTCTGTAGAAACTTTTCTTGCCCAGAAGTTACAGAATGATGGCTAAGTTCTCCAGGACTTGAAGCACGAATAGAATTAGCTTGCCTCCTCTTGCTCAATTTGAGGATCCTGTCCCTCACATCTGGGTACATAAAGTTATAAATCGTTTCTTTGAACATTGAATTTTTATCACTAAGGATAAAATTAGCAACAGGCATCCAGTTTGATTGCCCATCCGTAAAATCCATTCCCTTCTTCTCAACAAGGACATCAGTGTGGTAAGGGTGCATAAAGTATTGCATTTTCATCTGTAATTTACTTTTATGGCCTCCCAAGGGCATCTTCCGCTTTGCTTTCTTCGCATATCTGTTATTTCAAAGATTCCCAAGGGTCTAAAATGGTAAAAACCAGTTCTACTTTTAGAAATATTTGACCTTTTGGCACTCTAGAGGATGACAAACAGGACCTACACTGGAATGATATGAGCTCTTCCTGCTCGCTTGGATGGACTGCATTGGACTTGTCCTGATCTGGGATTTACTGGTCATCTTTAGCTGAGAAATTGGGTTTTTCATCGATTTAAAAATATTTGTGTTATATTCCTTGGTGTTCTTAATGATCACATTCACTCCTTTCTACGTGTGAGGGTAGTAGTACCTTAAGCTTGCCAAAGTTTGTCTCAAGCCGTTTATTTCTTGATAGAACATCTTCTCTGCTTTCTCAATTTCTTCTCCAACATCTCACGTTTCATTATCACCGTAGGAATCCCTATCACATCAAATCCCCCCCATAACCAAAACATTACCAACATTAAACACCGTCGCTCTTCTCATATCCTTGACCCTATAACCCCACATCATTCACTTCCCCTAATCCCCCACCCAAAATCCCTCTCCCAGTGCCCACACCCCAAAGAAATCTCCTGTCTCTACTAAATTTCTACCTAATCCCTCTACACAGTTGTTCCTAATTTATAAGGATTGTACGGAATTTTGGAATTTTTAGGTATTTTTAGGTATTTTTTCTTAATGAGGTGCAGGGAATGGGAGGTTGGCTACTTACTGGGAAGGGGATTTGGGGGAGAGTTTGGATGGGAGGGACTGGGAAGGGTTGGAGGGGAAGTGGAGAGTGGAGGTACGGGGGATTGGTCTGTGGTGGAGGTCTAGAGGGTGAGGGGAGGGGTACGATGAGAGGAGAGAGGTAGGTTTTTCATTTTTTATATAATTTTTGGGGTTTTGGGGTTTTGGGGTTTTGGGG